ATTTTATGGACCAACGAATAAACAGTTAACTCAGCCTGAAGAGTTAACAGACTCCACAAAGGAAGTGACATTTATGTTAGCTCTGAGGAGAAAGAATAAATATTTCCCAGACAGAGCAGTGAGGGTAGGGTATTTTAGACAAAGATATATAGAGCACATACTCTTAAACATTCTAGGTATTGCTAGTGAAGCCATGGTACTTTCAAAAAAAAAATCTATGGAAGTTTTTTTGCAAGTCTAAAGTTTGCAGAAAGGTCATTAAAGTAGATTTTCATTAAATTACTGCCTTTCATTAAAATATTCTTATTTTCAGTAACTTGATTTAAACATTACCAAGTAATTTCCACCTAAGTCTCATCCCTAAGAATAAGTTACACACAAAATAGGATTTGATAATTGTTTTATCTGCCTTCATTGTCAAACAGTTCTGATAACTCTAAAATGATGGTGATTTTATGAAATTGAATTTAACTCTGATTTTTCCCTCTGAGTTCATTAGCCTCTCATGAAATTGCTAATATCAAGATCTACTTTCTGATTCTCATAATACAGAACTATTAGTATTTTCCTTAACACATGCACACATATACCTTCAAGGTAAATACCCACTTCCAAAGGCTGATCTTTATGTAAATAAGTCTCTGAAGAATATTATTATCCTCTAACACTTCTGTATTTCTTTGGTGAAGTATATAGAACACCTTCTGTCTTCTGCACACACACAATAATAAGATTAATCTTTAAAAGAATCATCTTTACAAGCTGACCCTGTCTGCCTTTAAGGAAAAATCAACCAATGAGAAGATGCTTTGGTGATGTAAAACCTATTAAATTTCTCTCTTTCGGACATAATTGGGTAAGAGACTTCTCAGGACATCAATCATGCAATGAATTTCTTTTTCTCCCATGACTAATCTTAGCTCATAAGATTGTGGTACTTCACAAACACATTATTTTAAGATAGGCTTGAAATGGTTATGCAAAATGGTTATACAAAATCATTAAACTAGAGAATTTTATGTTTAATTTTTTTAGATTACAGGATCTTGCTATGTTGTCTAAGCTGGCCTTGAATTCCTAGGCTCAAGTAATCCTCTGCCTCAGCCTCCCAATTAGCTGGGACAACAGGCATACACCATCACACCTGGCTGAGATTCTTTTCAAACTTTAGCATCTATACCCATTGGCATTTGCTAGTATTTCCTCACCTTTCTTGAAAAATCACTTACTTCTATAGGTTGATCTTTATGTAAATAGACAATACATTAACACCACAGCCACCAGCATATAAGCAATTATTTTCCTCATATATAGATATATGAATTTTACGGGTTCCACTGATGCTTCTAAATGCTTGCTAATGTCCAGAGAAGCCCTAGCCCAAGTCAGATGAAGGCTCCTTCCACATAGGCCTAATTCTGTGAAGAGTGATAGGCAGGACAGAATGAATTTGTGTTGGTTTCCACCAGTCAAGTACACAAAAATACAGGAGCTAAGCTAAAAACTTCAGGCAAGTCTTATTCATGCAATAGCTTATTCCCATTCCTTCTTCCTCCACTTTTCAGCAGGAATACAATAGTAAGAATGTTGTGAAAAACATAATTTCAAAGAAGAAGATTATAATACCTGAGAAGACTGGTGGTTTATCTGATCTGACATCCAAGGAATAAAGCAACTCAGACTGCTAAACCAGCTGTGTAATTTGGAGAGCAAGATGTAATTCAAAGTTGATGACTATGAATACTCAAAGTAGGAAAATTAATACATTAGAACCACTTTCTCTCTCTCTCTCTCTCTCTCTCTCTCTCTCTCTCTCTCTCTCTCTCTTTCTCTCTCTTTTCCCATCTCTCCCTCTATTTCTCTCTTTCAGGATATCCTAGAAATCCTTTGAAAAAACTAAGTTAATTTCCGGCACTTGAGTCATTCTTGGGACTTTTCTACTTGTTCACTTCATGATAATATAGTTGTACTGGGACAGGGTGAAATTATGGGGTCTTACAGTCTTTTGAATCTGACCATGAAGAGTGTCTCTCTCTTATGGGAGAGTGACAAAGCATTGTAACTTCAGTGAGCCACACTTTCTCACCAATTAAAATAAATAATATTAAATTATTAAAATAATATATATAAAGCCCAGGGTGGTGGCAAATACCTATAGTCCCAGCTAGTCAAAAGGCTGAGGGAGAAGAATTGCCTGAGCCCAAGAGTTTGAGACCAGCCTGCGCAACATTGTGAGACCCATCTCAAAAAAAAAAAAAAAAACATAAATAAAATTCTTGGAAAGTAATAAATACTCAAGAAATAGCAGCTATAGTTATTTACTATTTTCCCATATACAAATGATATTTAAGCCACTCCACTTTACCTTTCAGAGTTGAAAACCAAACTACATAAAAACAATTATATAACCATAATAGATTTACTAATCTTCCACTAATTTTACTCTACTTTTTGATTTAGAACTCATTTATTTCAATGGATATCATTTTTTTGAGAAAATTTATAGACAGGTAACATTTAATTCAGTTTTAGAGAATAGTAAGGCATTTCCTATTTAGATAAGGTGGAAAAATATTGAAAAGGAACACCTAGATAAAAGAAAGAAAGTTTAAAAATTATAGCTATTTGTAGAATGGCTATTTGAACCATCTAATGTTTTGCAACAGGACATATATAAATATGGCATGGACAGGATTCACTCATGTACAGAGAGGTTTCGTTAAAGTTGAAATATTACCTTCCAAGTCACAGTGTTGCTTTCTTTATAACATACTGTATTAGTCTGTTTTTCATTGCTTAAACAAAATACCTAGAGACCAAGTGATTTTGAAGAAAAAAAATATTTTTTTTTAGGTCTAAGAGCACCAGCTTCTTTTTGGCTCCAATGAGGGCCTTGTAATAGAACACATGTGAGACTATTAACACTGTAAGATAGGAAATCAGAAAGCAGGGAGGGCTAATCTTGTTCTTTTATAACAATTCAGTAGCACAGCAACTAACCAGAGTCACCTGAGAAATACGCTAATTCCTTTCAAAACAGTGCCCTGCAATGACCTGATTATCTCCCACTAGGCCCTACCTTTCTTTTAAAGGCTCCACCACCTATTAATACTGTCACATTGGGTACTATACTTCCAGTATATGAAACTTAGTGAATACATTCAAAGCATATCCAAATTATAGCACATACCATTAGAAGATGCATAATAACACTATCTGCGTGTGTGTGTATGTGTGTGTGAGAGAGAGAGAAAGTGAGAGAGAGAGAGAGATATTTAAGCTTATATGGACTTTTCTTCAAGTAAAAAATATTATTCCTTTGCTCTTCTTATGATTTTTAAAAAAGTATCCCAATGTACTATTTTACTTCATACAAGGTAAAAGTAAATTTTATAAACCATCTTTCAATAAGACAATATAAATAGTTGAAAATAGTATGAGATCTAAAAAACATCTCTTGGTTTTGATTCATGTAGAAGTTTACATGAGCAATACAAAAGTTAATAATATCAAATTATGTATTGAAGTATTGTCTGTACTAAAGAAGTATTGTCTAAATGTGCATGTGTTTGTTTTAAGAGTTATCTGGGAAGGTTGCATTACTCTTATTCACATGGTAAAAAACTGAATTAACCATCAAGTCAATGAATGCATGGAACCATTCACCTTTAATACTGTGGGTGTGAACACATTCTTAAATTTTGCTCTAAGTTCCCTGTCATTTCCTTGAAGTATATTAACTGAATAAAAAGTCTTCATGTCTTTAAACAGGACTATGTGGATGTGCTCAATAGTTCAAATATATTTGATGAGTTTTATCAGACATGACTTTAATGTATTTTTTAGACATATACATGATATGTTATAAAAAGAATAATTCAATTTGACCAATGGCATGTACTGAGTTGTCTATATCCTCTCTCCCCTTTGTAATCAATATCAAGTCTTTTTGTTTTTAAGTGCACTTTAGTTATATATAATAGTGGAGTTCATTATGACGTATTTATACACATATATAACATAATTTGTTCCATTTCATCCCCCCAGTACTCCTCGCTTCCCTTCCCTCTTCCTTCTCCTGATCTCTTCCTTTGCTCTACTGGTCTTCCTTCTATTTATTCACATTTTTAAATTGGAGCATTATAATTATACATAAAAGTGGGATTCATTGTGACATTTTCAGTATATATACACATAGCATAATTTAGTCAACCTCATTCTGCTTTTTCTCTCCTTTCCCACTCCTCCTGCCCCCTTCAGCCCCTTCTTCTGCACTACTGTTCTTCCTTCTGTTTTCAGGAGGTGGAGATTTGTTTGTTTGTTTGTTTTAATTCCTTATGCCTCTTATATGAGAAGACATTGACCCTTGACTTTCTGAATTTGGCTTTACTTCACTCATCATGATATTCTCCAGGGCCTTGTGCATGCAAGGCAGGCACTTTACTAATTGAGCTATATCCCCAGCCCCAGTTCCATCCGTTTACCAGCAAATACTATAGTATTTGCTTTATGGCTGACTAGACCTCCATTATGTATATTTAAAATCAGCATAATAGAGTAATAGAGTCATTCCAAAGTTTATAGTAGCACAGTTCACAGTAGCCATGTAATGGAACTAGACTAGGTGTCCATCAATTGGATGAATGGATAACAGATAAAGAAAATATCATGACTTTTAGAAGTAGCTTACTAGAATTACAGGTCGTCAGGTCAACCATGGCTTATAGAATTTCATCATGTAAAGCTAACTGAGGTGTATGAAGGAGGAACCAATAGTCTTGGACCCATTGTGTTTTTCTATCCATATTAAATATTATACACAGGAGTGCTTGTCTAAATGTGCATGTGTTTGTTAATGCCCATGTCATCCTACAAATAATTAGAGTTTGTTAGAATTTGTATGTGTAATGCAGAAAAATCCACTGTGTACAGCATGCTTAGAAATGTGAAATTCTCAGGTAAATTTAGAAATAAAGAATATTTCCTGTTTCCTCTGCCAGCTGTTAAGGAGAAAGCTAGTTTTATCACTCCAGTTCCAGGAGGCGTGGGACCCATGACAGTGGCGATGCTTCTGAAGAATACTCTTCTGGCAGCTAAAAAAATCATTCACTAGACGTCATGGAAGAATCAAGCAACTGAGGTTATGCTGTGTATTTCTTTGACAAAGGGCAAAAACCTTTATATTTTACTACAAAGTTATTTATTTCTACATTATATTTATTTTTTCATGGATGGAATCATTGTGGATCAGATGATTCATGCAACTTTGTGCATTTCCTGCTGATTTTGAGTTTTAGGAAAAACCAAAATAATTCCAGTGAAATTTTGGTAATAATTGCTTATTATTAACAAAGGATATTTGTTCATAGTAAAACATCAAAGGGTTCATAATAAATAGATATATTTTTGACACAAGTAACTATTGCACACAGTGTGTTTTCAACAAATATTTTGTCAGTCAAATGGGTACCCACATGCAATTTTATCACAGACATGCTCAATTTTTACTATATTCTGTGTTTTATGTCGTATGCTGTAAAAGAGCTTACTTGATACAAGAAAGATGGAATACTAAAAATCAAAATCTTCCCAAATGCAACCTACAAGGCCATCCTATTGAAAAATTATGTCCTCTTTAAGAAAAATATTTAAGGAAGGCAAAAGATACAATGCTACTTGTAAAAGTAATTATATCACACTGTGAATAACTACTCGTCATAATAAAATATACATTAAGAATATGTTATGTTTATATATCATTGTTTCTTCCTGTAAAAAGTTTTTGGACCATACAGTCGCTGAAAAATGATGGGAAAATCCAAAAATATAGAAAAACCACAAAACTTTGGTTGTATTTTCCTGCAAATATCAGAAAAATAATATATTGTATGAGTAAAATGATCATTAAAGAAAAGCAACTGGTATGTCTGTCCACACATTCAGTAATCTAAAAGTAAAAAATAATAAATTCAATGTGCCAAAAAAAACTGTAGGATGCAAGTAAAACTTTTATGCTTTGTGCTCACAGTAATTCTCTCTTCTGTTATGGCATTTTGTTCTCAAAATAGATGTAATGTTCCTAACATAATTTATATTAGGAAATACATGTGAATGTTAGTTAAAGGCTATTTTGAGGCTATTGGAACAATGTAATTAGTGTTCTGTTTTCATGCCCAAATCTCAGTATGTTTACGTAAAAATAATAATTCTTATTCAATGCATGTTTTTATCAGTGCATTTCTCTTGATCATTTGTGTGATAATAGACTTGATGTTTATAATTAATACCATTTCAACAAAATAATAAAAAGTAATTTGAAGAAGGATAGCCGTGTTCTCTTTTTGTAAGAACAGCTGTTTGTTTGTCCATATTTTGTTACCTAGTTTACTGCATGCTTAAAAAACATAGCAAGTTTTGCAAACTTGAAAGAAAAAAATAGTATAAAATATTCCACAATCTGTCCAAACCAACTTTGTCCAGTAATTCTGACAAAAATTTAAATCCAGAGTTTGCAAGCAAACATTTTAGAAAGGGCCTCTTTAAATTTAAAGGGTGCCTAACTCCCTAACTAAAATGACCAAAAGTACATGTGTGCAAGGAAGGTTATTTTGGAATTATATTCAGTAGTCAGCCTTCCCAGAGTCTATTCTATTTAAAATATTATAAAGAAAGACTACAGGGGAGGGAAATTGAAGTCAACTCTGTAAATAGCAAAGAGCTGAGGATTTATAGCCAATGTGCTGAGATAAGAGGTTGGTGGTTTTGATGCCAAGGAATTAGAAAGAATTAGAAAGAACTGGGTTTGAGATCAAGGATAGGGGAATTCTTGCTGAAACTAGCTTATCAGTATTCTTGAAAACAGCAGAACAACATTTTTTATATCAAGGGTAGGGAATGGGGAATTTGATCAGATACCAAAGGCAGGGTGGATTGTTTATAAAGATTTAATATAAACCAGGCACAGTGACACACACCTGTAATCCCAGCAGCTCAGGAGGCTGAGGCAGGAGCACGGTGAGTTCAAAGCCAGCCTCGGCAATTTAGCAAGGCCCTAAGCAACTCAGAGAGACCCTGTTTCTAAATAAAATGTAAAAAAGGGTTGGAGATGTGGCTCAGTGGCTGAGCACCCCTGGGTTCAATCCTCAATATAATAAAAAAAAATTGAGTTCAGTGGGCCAAACTCAAGCCTTTACATATTATGTCATTGCCTCAAACTCAGCAAGAAGAGGACTCAGAGGATCCTGACTGAAGATTGGTTCAGGAAGGAGCCTTTGTCAACACATAAAAGAGATAAAGCCAATTCATTGGTATTATGTCTTTATTTATGGATACACAGAGTCTGTAAGATATACACACATGTTGGCCCTACAGAGGAGCTTGGAGACATACATTTTCTTTTCCTACTCCATCAGTATCTAGAAAGAAGACCCTTAATAATAAATGGGATTTCAGCAATAATATAAACACATGGAGGTAAAAAGGAACTTAGCATATACTTATGAAAGTAAGGGTCTCAGATACAAATGAAAAGTGTGAGGTGCAAGGTGATGGAAATGCAGCTGGGTTAATATGCAAAAACTAGACTAGAGGAAACCATGCTAAATCAGAATGTATATTATATTTACTAAGTGATGAGAATTATAGTTAGAGGATAGAAGATGTTATCATCAGTTAATATAAGGAAGTTGTAAAGAGGAGGTGGTTTTGGAGAAGAGATAATATGTTCAGTTTAAAACATGTTGAGTTTGAGGCAATGACATAATATGTAAATAAGTGTCCTGATGTAATATCAGTATGGGAAGAGGACAGGTTTTCCTGGCTAGTGGGGAAATTTTAGGATTCATTAGCACATATTAGCTACAAAATCTCTCACCCTCTTTGTGACCACTGTAAATACTGTGGCTCTTTCTACTTGTTCAGTAGTAACCACTATCCTTAATTGAGTACCTGTCATGTGCCAAATACCTCCCTCTGTGCACGCGCGCGTGTGTGTGTGTGTGTGTGTGTGTGTGTTTATTTCTTATTAAAAATTTTTACTTGATAGATGAGGAAATTGCTCCTAATCATTAAAACATCTCACCTAAAGCACATGTATAATAAAGAAGAATCTGAATTTAAAATAAGCTCTGTTAGGATAATGTGAGTCAGAGCCCACCCCTCACACTTTACTCTGTCTCCCTTCAATGACCTCTACACCTATAATCCATTCTCATTTTAAAAAATCCTACTTATTAAAAATTCATTTCAATGAAACTTGTTCATGAAAAACACCATGAAAGTCTGAGTAAGCACAACTTCTCGACTCTCTGCCTTTTATGCACATGTTGATGGTGCTCATAATTTCCTACCCAGTGTTTTAGGCATGTGGTACTCTTCCTAGCTCTCTTTAGTTCTCTGAGGTCAGAATATCTGCATTATGTATTTGTGCCTTATCACATCCAATGCCATAGATATAGTAGACAATGAGTAATTTCCAAATGAAGGAATAAATAGCAAATAAGACTATGAGAATTACAGAATAAATTTAGAGAGAAAAACAATAGATGAATGGATATGTCTTGCCAATGACCAGCTACAAATGCTGGTTGAGTTAGTTTAGTGAAAGAGCGGGGAGGTGGGGGAAGAAAATATGAGTACACGAGAAAGACGGACGGAAGTGGAGGGAAGAGAGAAAGGAATAAAAGGAAAAGGAAAGGGAAAAATAAATTTCTAGATGGACTTATGAATAGAGGAGAGAGAGGAATAAATTAAAGACAAAAAATACGGGATGAGAGAAAAATGGTAGTGGAGCCTCCATCTCTTTTCTCACTCTGACTTGCCTTACCATTTCTTAGGAATAAATAAAGATGACAGAAAAGCCACTTTACAACAACACATCTCCCACTTTCTTCAAGATTGGGAGAAAGGACTTTTGGGTGAGAGGGTCAAAGAGATGAAGGTAATATATTTTCCTATGAACCGTGCAAGGGGGATGAATGTGTACTTCTGTAGATGTTTCCCCACTCTGGTAAATTAGGCCATATCATTTGTATGGGCCCCAAAGGAAAAGAAGCAGGTGGAATGACTTAGAGACATTTTCTGTATAAACCTTAAACCAGAGTGGTAGATAGATACAAATGTTAGGGAGGTAACTCAGTGGTAGAGCACCCCTAGTTTTAATCCCTAGTAACACACACACACACACACACACACACAGAATTGGGATAAGTGTGAAAACCTATAAAATTGAACTGTTCTAGTTCCATTTAGTTCTTACAAAGATGATCATTGTACTTCTATATCTCAGTGTTAGAAATAAAGGTATTTGTGCTGGGGATGTAAACCTGCGGTAGAGCACTTGCCTAGCATGCACAAGGCACGGGGTTTGATCCCCAGCACTACAAAACAACAATCAAAATAGCAAACAAAGACATCCAATGTGAGTTCTAACATCCCCTCCAGAACCTACAAATGGATTTGGGATGGTTTATTTGATACTTTGTAAATGATTTCTTAAGTTCTCACCAACAATGCCAAGAAGATTCTTTTATTTATGTTTCAAATATTACTTGCCTGGGGAAAATGATGTTCAGAAATTGACTTAATAAACAGTTTTTTTAAAATAATCTTAAAGGCAAAAATACAAAATGTGGGCACATCTAAAATGAGTCAAGTGCTACATTTTCTTTTAACTTTAAAACGATGACTCTTGTGGTAAGTGATTGCCCAAGTTATAATGAGTACAGCAAGCTCATTCTTGTGTGATTTCTAAAGCCAAATTCATATTTGAATACAGAAAGGGATCTTTTCTGATAAATCTAACTCACTGGGTGGACATGATACAAATGATAACCTATCTTGACTTGAATAGGTTTTCAAAGTACAGAAAACATGAGCAATTCAAATTCCAGGTAGAAAGACACAGCACTTCAGTAAAAATATTTTAATAATAATTTCGGGCAAGTGAAAACTTATGGGAAACCCCTAAAGTCCAAAATAATAATAATAATCATAAGCAATAATTACACATTATGTCCTTTAGAGTGGCATTTTAATAATTATAACTTGATTAAGATTGAAAAGGCTTTGCTACATTTAAGACTTTCTATTCATTAGATGTATCTAAACTAAATGTCATCTTAATTTTACCTCAATGGAGAATTGTATTATTAGTAGTACTGTTAGTACTATTTGGTACCTTATCAGTTCTCTCTAGCCTGATTATCAGTGCACAGACCTGAGCATTTTTGTTCCTAGAATGTGGTAGTCCATTCCATTTACTCAGAAAAATATTAAATAGCAGAATGACATAAAAAAGTTAATGTTGTATAATTAAAATATATTTATAAAGTTTGTCATAAATAAAGCTAAGTAACAAAAACTAAAATGGAATTTATTTTTTTGATTGTCTGGGAATTGAACCCAGGGCCTCAGGTACGCTAAGTAGGTGCTCTGTCCCTGGTCCATCCCCTGAAATGGAATGTTAAACTTATTTTAACAGTAATTTCTCTGTTCTCCCCTGCATCCATATTAACTGAACATTTTGATTTACTATAGAACTCACAGTCTGTGATGAAAGGAAATGTAACTACTATAGTATCGAGGGTTTTATTATTATTATTATTAACAATAATTATGCTGTCTCCTAATTTGCAGATCTCTTTGTTGGAATCCTTCCTTGATTTCTAGCCCAACTAGTACACAGTTCTGTTCACACCAGTGGAGAATTTTCTGAACTCATGTTCTTTTGGGTTGTTGTTTTAAGTACTTTTACATATAGGAGTATGCCCACAGGTAACAGGAAACCAGTGTTTCAAAAGGAAACTTGATCACATCGCTAGATAACACAGGCATCCCAAACAAGTGTGTGAGCGCCCCAAGGCTTGGGGCTGCTGCCAGAAGTACATATTCTTTTGATTGGTAAGAACTGCCAGATGACGCTTCATGAAATATATAATGCAAGAAAGACTCAGAGAGCTCAATAAAAGCCTTCCACCCAGCAGGTTGGGAGGATAAGAGAAAGAAAGTAAAGCAACTACAGAAGATGGCTTTGGGAGTTCCAATATCAGTCTGCCTTTTGTTCAACGGTAGGTAATTTCCCTTTTGTTTAATTAACTTTGTATCAAGGTGGAATGTAATGTAAATGTAAATGGGATTTATTCTCCGTGAATTAAAGAGATGTTGGTTTGTAAGAGTTGTTAATGATAAAGATCAGAATAATTAAATCTGTGGGTTAATGTAGTTTCTTATGAAACTTATGTTCCTCTCCTGGTATGTTTTGATTCCTTTTTTTTTTTTTTGAGAACTCCAAAATGTTTGCTCTATAGAATTGAAGAGTAGTTGATAACATTTAGTTACACTACCACAGTATTATCTCCTTGTGATTGAATTAATATATAAATGCATTCACTTTTTCTTTAAAATTTATGTGTTTCTATTTTCCATAATTATAATGTAGTTGATGGAATGGCTGAAAAACAGATGAGCAAATGCCCTAGTCAGGTTCTAGATTTAAAATGGAATAAATTAAAAGCAGAATGGAAATAGGATTAAACACAGTAAGAAAAACTCTGGGTCTATTGCTTGCACTTGGACAGAGGCACACCTGCTAAAGATGCTTCCCCCCACCCCCAACAGCAATGACAGCACTGACAGAAGAGGCAGCTGTGATTGTGACTCCCCCAAACGCAGTCCAGCAAAGTAATTGGACCGTGAACAAAACCGAAGGTATTTTCTTCCCATTTTTGTACTTCAAATGACTTCTTTGAAACCTTTGAGAAAAACTTGGATTATGATAGAAACAACATTGGAAATTTTTAACTATATGTTTTATAGGGTTATCAACACTTTTAGCAAGATGCTATTAAATTGAAGTGACAGATAAATGTGTGAGCCAAGAATTGCCCTTTTAAAAGGAGGAAGTGAAACAAAGGAGAGAAAGAAAAGTTGTCTTCAGCCACTGTCCTGAATGTGAAGTGTACCATATTTTCTGCTTGGCTTCCAATAACCCATGTGTGTTCGGTGACAGCTCATTTCCATTTTGGCATTTTGAAGGGGCATCATATTTTGATCTATGACTATAAGCTTAACAGTCAAAGAAATCATGGACAAAATGAAGCATTCTCCTTCATCTTTGGAACCATCTTTTTTCTTGCTTGTTTTTTGGGGGCTTTTGTTCTTTTAACATGTGCTACTTTTCCTCCCCACTTATACCTGATTTTTTTTAATTGATGGTGATGTATTTTCTTTTCTATTTTATTATTATTATTGCAGTGGCTTCTGGCTGCTGTTGAGCGTCAGCATTGTTTTCAAACCTGTTTGAACTACAGGTGAACTTGGAAAACTTGTTGCCTGTCAAGACCTGAGACTGAGTGGTTTTGATTCTCATGCAAATCACTTAAGGCCCCCAGAGGTGAATGCTAGTGATGACCCAGGACGGAAGAAACATCGGATCTTACTCTAAGAGTCCAGCAAATAAAAGATAAAGTCAAATATTTCAATTTTAAATGAAATATAGTAGTATTTAACTGTTCCTCATTCCACGATTAATTTAAAAATTAAAAACAACTGAAAATATTTTATCTATTTGAGTTTTTGAATATCAGTTTGCAAAACAAAATTAGAGTGGGTTTTAGAATAACTTTTAGCCAAATTCTTCATGTCTTCTGAACCTTTGAGCAAAGAGGGAAAATTTTTATTGGAATATGATCAATAATACTGTAGAAAAAATAAAGAAGTGTGGTTTTCTCTCAGTGACTGATGTCATAGCAATATTCCCAACACCACATTTTTTCCTTCCTTAATGGTTAATTGCAAATAAATTAACTGAATTTTAGGTAATAGGAATGGAAAAGTGGGATGGAATATGTCATCTCTCTACTTTTTTCTTTGTTTTCTTGATGAAAAACTTTAGTTATTCTTTTCACTTTTTGTTTATTTTGAAAATATGAATCTAGTATCTCAGAAAATTTTAAATTAAGTTTAATATTCTCCTTAAGGGATGGATAAGTCTCTCTGTCATAGCTTTTCTTTGGAAATGGCTTCTTTCAATTCTCACATTTTCCATAAAATCCCATTTTAGGCTTGGTTAATTGAGTGTGAGTAATCTTGAATTAAGAAGAGCCTAGCACAGCTTATAATGGGAAATTCTCACTGCCTCAGAATTAATTATTAAAATTATAAATTGTGTTCACTACATCACATTTAACAAAATGAATGTGAATTCTAAGGTAATATTGGACATTCTTGATAAAAAGGTAAGTGATATAACATAATATCCTGTTGGTCCCTGAGTACCTAAAGTTTTAATTTTTCCAATATAAAATAAAAATATCCTTTAGATTTCTTTTCCTAAAAATGAATAAATAGGTTTCTCTTAACCTCCTTAACAAGGCAAATATAGTGATTTGCCACAGAATAACTAACCATGAGGGACACATTCATTCATAGCAATGATAAATTAAAATACCAAAAACTTTGCTTGAGAAAAATGTAAGAATAGTTAACTAAAATATACCAAAAAATAATCAATTCTGCAGTTTTATGCAAGAGTCATTCCCACTGCATAATTAGTAAGGATGGTCTACGTATGTCTTTAGCATATCAGAAGATGGGAGGCATCCTGAACCATGTGTGTGCTGCCAGAACATATCTTCCTGAAGAGGATTTCCCCTAAGGAGGTTTCTGGACACTTGACTAAAAAAAATTGTGTCTAGTCATGTTCAATTGCATCATGTTAGAGCTAGAAATAAAAACCTGAGTTTTTCTAATCCCAGGTACATGGCTTTTACCATCACTTCAGAATACCTCTTAACTGAGTTAAAATTTTAATTAATATTTGATGGAATTATCATATAACTATTTCAACCAGAACCATAAGTTGTTTCTGGATTCCTGTATGGGTCATAACAAATACCTCTTCTCAAGTCAATTACAGAAAAATGTCCCATTTTAAATTAGATTTACCATCTTTTCCTCTGGGGAAGGAATAAAATTGTTTATTATTTCACAAGCATAAATCCAGACCTTCCTAAGTGCCAACTACTCAGTGTAAAGGAGAAAAATATAAAGATTATATGAGATGTTCTACATTTATCAGCATGCAGGCAGTGGTATGGAAAACAATACTCAAAATAACCTGCTAAGATTAGAACCAATGCTGCCACCTTTTGGCAAACTTGCCTCTGTACCTGATTAGTTAGCTAAAGAAGGAACAATCATGGGTACACCTTTTCACTCTAATAAACGAATTACAGTTCTGGATGATACTAACCAAACGCTTGTAAATATAACCAACCTGCCAAAGAATCAATAGCTCAAAAGGCAAAGTGCCCCTAAAATAATCTTAAATGTCCTCTTACATATGTGTTGAAAGTCATGAAGTAGGACACACTTCATTTGTTAGTATTATATCTCCTTTTTCTAGATGACTATGCAGAAGGACCCATAGCCTTGAGATTTTCCCACCCTTGCCTGGAAGATCATAATAGCTACTGCATCAATGGGATGTGTGCATTCCACCATGAGCTAGAGAAAGCCATCTGCAGGTAATTGCACAGAACTCCCAAGTCCTGGAGACAGGAGAAGGTGAACTTATGCCTTTGTTGTTTTACACAGTACAGTGCCACTCTCTACCTTATCTAGTTAAAACGGTGTTTGATCTGAATGTGACTTGCCAGTCCTCTTTGTACTTGACTTTCCAAAAAGGTTTTTTTAATTTTTTCTGCTTAATCCTCATTATTTAAAAAATATAGTTCCCAGGTTAGCAGCATCTGTGGAAGCTGGGGCTTTTTAGAAATGTAGAATTTCATGCTTCACCTCAGAACTACTAAATCAGAATCTGCATTTTAATGATATGCAAAGGTGAATCCTAGTTTTCACAGGATTATTTGTAGGATAAAATGAAACAGGGCAAGGCAAAAATCTTCATAAGAAGTTCACAATTTTTATGATCATTGATTTGCTTGGTCTTCTTTTTTTCCACATTTTTTATGGATGCATTACAGTTGTATATGATGATGAGATTTGTTGTTACATATTCATACATGCACACAATTAAACAATATAATTTGGCAATATCACTCCCTGGTGCTCAGTTTTCTTGACAAGCATACTACACTTTGTGTCTACCATTGAGGGGAAAATATGGGGTCTTAATGAGATGATTATTGTAAAATTCAAGCTACTTCATACCTTAACACACTGATTTCACTTGGTGTTTGCCTATTTAAATTACTTCCTTTCCTCCCCACCACTCCCCGCCATTCTGTAGGCTTTAAAGTTACTTTTTTTTTTCTCTTTTTTAAGGTGTTATACTGGTTATACTGGAGAAAGGTGTGAGCACTTGACCTTAACTTCATATGCTGTGGATTCTTATGAAAAATACATTGCAATTGGGATTGGTGTTGGATTATTAATAAGTGGTTTTCTTGCTATTTTTTACTGCTACATAAGAAAGAGGTATGAAAAAGACAAAATATGAAGTTACTCTGTGTACGTTCATTTGACAAATATCTGTCGAGCCTCTATGACATACCAGGCTTTGACATGTATCCTTTTTTAATGAAAAAGAAGAAGGTGAATCTGAGCAGTTCCTCCGTAACATTTTTGATACCCTTCTCACAGGAGTGGTGAAAGTTTACCTTTAGTTGCAATAAGAGAGTTCAAATTTACAACTTCCTTTCTTCTTATATCTGTGTCTTCCTAAGTCAAAATTATAAATGAGGAGGATAGCAGGCCTCAAGTGGGTAGAGACCCAGTGTGTCTTGTTTACTAGTACACATTTAGCATCTACTTTTGTGCTCAGAACAGACACTGAAAAAATATTTGTTGAATGAAAAAAAAAATCAAGAAATGAGTATTCATCCTTATTTCTGGTTTTTCACACCTTAAGTCTGTGTAATTAGGGAAAAGTCAAGAAATCATGTAAGATACATTAATTTTAAAATACAATTATACTTCCCCTGATATACTTTACTGTTATCAGTTTAACATGACTAAAATTGTCCATCCAAAATTAGAAAAATTTGTTTTGCTTATGAGAGGATCCAATCAACATGTATAAGTTGCATATTTATATAAGAATCTAAGAAGAATAACGAGGAAGAGAAGGAAGGAGAGAAGAGGTGAGGGAGAAGGTGGAGGAGGAGGCAGCTGGGGAGGAGGAAAGGCCTGTTGGTGGTCATAAGCTAGCTGTTTGAGATCCAGTTCTGATGAGAGTATTGTGCATGTGACAGGTGGCAGGAGAGCTCTGAGGTGAAACCTGTGATGACATAAGGAAAGCAGAAGCAGCTAAGCAGAGATGTAGCTTGAGCTGTCTTCTCAGCTTGATTCTACAGGGAGATGGAGAATGTGAATGGCATCATAGACCTTCCCAAGGAGGAGAAAGGTCTTGGTTTCAGTTTACCACATGGGTCAATCAGGCCACAAACTATTCTTGATGGGCTAGTGGGCTAGTGAGCAGGGGTTTGTAATTTCCCAGGAATCTTCTGGCAAAGTGTTCTATTGGCTATGGCAGTCCTCTGGAGAATGGTGGTGCTGTCAGCCTGTTAATGCTTACAGCCACTGAAGGATGGGTCTACCATTGAGTGAAGGGGATCTGGGCAGGGCACCAGGAGCAACTGATACACCAGTGCATTCTGTGATCTACGATGACCAACACAAACCACAGTCATAAGGAAATCAATGCTCTGTTTTAGGTGTCTAAAACTGAAATCACCTTACAACATCTGTTCTGGAGGGAGACCACTCTGAGGATTTGTGGGCGTTTTCATCATGTCATTTGGGAAACTCAGTGGGCCCCACATTGAAATCCTCAAGTGAAAGAACAAAAACGTCAAGCTGACTAGACTTGAAAAGAATGAAAGTTGGGATCACAATGAAATAAGAGGATAAGATTCAACATTGTTCTTTAGTGTTTGCCATCATTAGGAGCCATGGAAGCCAAGTGAACGAGCTACAAAGGAAGAGGTCAAGTTTGCAATCCTAACCTGGGTTTGTTTGTTGTGTGGTTATTGTTCTCACTACAAAAAATTGTGTTTTGTGCTTCTGACCATGTCAGATGTAGGTTTTCCCGGGAATAATTGTCATCCTTTCCGCAAGCCGCAGCAATTCCAAGTTCAGCTTGCTACCCAGCATTTGGATAGCACGACCTAAATGTGGGCTCTTTGTTCACTCAATGGACCTCATCCCAAGCATTCTGTTTTTATAGTATCAAAGGAGTTTAATCTCAATTTTAGGGTGATATCAGTGTTATGGCATCTTGAGTGAACCAAACATGTGTCTTAAGTGCAAGCCATTGAAAAGAAATGAATGTCCAAAGCAAACACAAATCATACCTAGCTTATGACAATACTGTGCAACTTTTATCTGTGAAACATGGAATAAGCTAAAGACTTTCTCAGAACTAAAAGCCATCTGGATATCAAATCCAGAGTAGGCTAAGCATTTCTTTTCCATATGGATTATGAAATTCTCTGTTGGACTTATGTTCCCTCTACTTTTGTCACTTCTAGTCATTATCAGTGGTATTAACTGGTGACCATTAATTTGAATTGAAATCCAAGACTTTGGCCAATGATTAAAAGTCTACAACTGGTCCTGAAGTAGAAACTGACAAACTAGACATGAGAGTTATTTCACCAGCCAAGAGTGTGTGGAAACTTCACCATTTCTGAACAGATTTGCACATAGAAAAAAAAAATGGAGCAATGGTAGAAATAACAATTTGGGAACCAAGGTCCTTCCTTTTTAATTATACTTCTGCTACATAATTCATACAGTCTTGTGCAGGTCCCTTAATTTCCTGGGGCTTTGGTTTCATCTTCTCCAAGACTCTTGTGGTTCTAAAGTTTAACAATGAGAGAAGAAAGAAATTTTCTGCACTATTAAGTGACAGATGTAAGTGACAGTTCTATCATCAAACCAACCTCGAAGCCCAAAAACACACCACTAGCCATTATCTTAGATGTATATTTTAAAGATCAATTTATACAATAATAATTTATTTTTAAGAAAAATATAAAATTAAATTAAAGAATTATAACATTAAACGTCTTTAAGTTTCAACCTAATAGCGTGGGCTCATATTGTGATGTCGATAAACAAAACAATTTTGATCATGAGATTGATAGAGAAAAAATCAAACTTGAGTGTTTGAACAATGGCAGCCTATTAATAAGCCTTCTTTTGCATTAAATTATAGATTTTTATTCGCTCCTAACTTCCCATTTTGCTTTCCTTTGAAGAGAAGGGATTTCACTTGCTTTGGTTTTCCTTCAGAAGGAATTTAACACAGATGAATCACAGGTCAGCACTTTCTGCCTGTCTTCACACAGCGTGCAAAGGTTACATCACCCCAAGGGGTGGGGAGCCAAGGTTCCACCCATGACTCCAGCACCGCACCTAGAAAGCTGTGCTCTTCTTGAGCATTTCAAAAAGATGTAAAAATGCCAGGGAGAGTCCAGGAAGGCGTGTCTTTAAGTAATTAAGGACTGCCTCTTAATGAAAGGAAAGAGGAAGCAATGATAGTGTCTACAGAAATGGTAACCTAAATGGTTACAAATATTGGCAGTCTGTAAATGCCTGCCAGTTTTAAACTTATTACATTGAAATTAGAACAACGTCACAGCAGTTAAAATTTTCAGCATTGCTAATCCAAAATGTTAATCCAAACAAATGCTAATACAGATTCCTTCTTTCACCTAAGGAAAAGTATGCATTAACAATATAAAATCTACCCAGTGAGACTGTACAGAAACTTACAATGTGGTTTATGAAGCCATCTGTTTGTGGTCTGTCCTATGAAATAATCTTGTGATCCCGTAACTCCCAGAGTTAATTTTGCAGGAAGGAATCTCTGGCATTCCCATAGAGCTGGAGCCCCACCTGGCAACATTTACATACATAAAGGACTTGTACCTTGTAAGGTGGAAAATGCATAAATACAAGATGATCTGTCAATTGTTTCATCTTGTACATTTTTTTCTCCTGTATGCAGTAAGACCCTGAAAAGTGCCTACCCATGAACTTGCATTTGAACTCCACTTTCAGCCATCAACCATGGATCATTAAGTTGGGTGGATGACTTAGGAAAGAAATGACAGCATGCTGCTGGCATCTTTCACTAAATCAACCTGGCCAAGGGGTTCATCTGCTTCTTTCAGTCCCCCTTTTGTCTCTTCCCTATTTCTATCCTTCAATTCTTTGAGAACACTTTCTTAGCTCATCAGTATTGAGGAGTACATCATTATTTAGCATTTTGATGGGATGGGGGCAAACATTACAATCTCCTCTCTGAGCCAGTAAATCTCCAATTAAAAGCATTCAAAATTGCTTATCATTGTATCCTCTCTCCCCAAATTAGCTTTTTTGTACAATCATGTTTTAGTAAAGTTTGAAGAGGGTAAAATTATAACATAGCTCATCTTTCAAAATGCAAATCTAATCCTTCAGTTTTCACATATCCATTTTGGTGACGTCAATAAGATTTCCATTCATTATATTTAATTGAAAAAAAAGTCTTAAGAAAATAATAAGACAAACATCAGCAATTTGAGCTTTTGATATTGAACATAAGAACAAGTCATATACACAGAAGACTATGAGTAAGCCATCTAACTTCGATGCATTACAAAACATAACATGCTTTCTGTGTGTGATATAAATATTGATATTCTGCAACCCACACTCATGGGAAGGGTTACCAAAATCTCTGTTGCAAAATACCACTCTTTCTGGCTTACATCATGACTGCATGACATCAGATGTGAGCATCTGCCAAGATGAACTGGAAGTGTTGAAATTTAATTTGTCATTGTCTGGCACTGCTGCTCTGGGTGAGTCCACATTTCTGTCCAAACTTTGGTGCAGACCAATTCAGTAGCACATTCAGAAGCATATCTTCCAAATTCTCTATGAAATTTGTTAATAAAAATTCAGTCAATCAATGCCCAGCCCAGAGCTCAAGAGCTTGAGCAGTTAATCTGAGAATTCCAAGGCTTGAGAATTCCAAGTTCTTGAGAATGTCCATGTACAAAAACATGTCCCATCATTTTACTTCACTCCTCTGCCAAAACTGAACATGATGAATGTTCTAGATTACAGGAAACACAGCTTCCAAAAAAACAACTCCTAAAGATTAGGTGAATGATTATATGATAATAAGAATTGGATTTGTTAGTCAGGCCTTATTTAAAACCTCATGTTCTTTCTTTGTCTTTTTTCGGGGAGGCGGGCAGTGGGATACCAGTACTTTCTTTGTCATTTTTATGTCTCAGTTATTGGAGCATAAATTTCCTAGATTGAATTTGGTTAAGACAAAGGACAAGCAGCTATCAAATTAGTACTTTTGATCTTTAAGCGGATAATAATTAGGTCTCACATCTTTCTGGAAAGAATGGCATCTCTAGATTTTTTTTCAATTGCAACAAAAATACTAATTCTGTATTAAGTTAAGTTCCTTGAAAATCAAGTTGAAGAAATAGTTTGAGAGCTACCATTTATGAAAACTTGCACTGTTTGAAAGTATTTGCATTATTTTGATTAAAAACACACCTGTGGTTTCAAGAAGGCAGTTCACTTGTTTAAGATTACATAGCTTTTTTATTTTTTTTAAGAGAGAGAGGGAGAGAGAAGAGAGAGAGAATTTTTTAATATTTATTTTTCAGTTTTCAGAGGACACAACATCTTTATTTTATTTTTATGTGGTGCTGAGGATCGAACCCAGCACCCCGAGCATGCCAGGCGAGTGCGTTACCCGCTTGAGCCACATCCCCAGCCCCAGGTCACATAGCTTTTAAGTTGCAAAGCCATGTCCTGAAGGAGTTAGAGTCAATGCTGAAGTTCCTCATCTAAGCTCTAGATGATAATCTTTCCCAACATTTTATGGGAAATATTTACATTGGGTACTAAATCTTGGTGAACTTGGAGATGTAACCAAGTGATTTGTATGCAAATAAAAATAGTTCTTTTTTGTTTTATACACACACACACACACACACATATATATATATGTATATATGGTCACCTTGTCACAGATCAATTACAAAAATTCCCTGCTGTCATCCTCAGATTACGATATGCATACCATCCTTAGGGTGGGGCCAGAACAGTGTCAAGTGCCTGGTGGCATGTGAGGACACAGACTGAAAGGAGACTGTAGACTGTAAATAAACCCTAGGTTATCCTCAGGATTAAAAGAGTGGGCAGGTTGTTGGAGAATATCCTACCCAGTCTATAGACAAGGGTTCTCTATCACTGTGCTACCTTAAATTGGACACATCTAATAGGTTGGTGAAGGGATGTAAAGTGAGGTATCCAAGTGCAGATGGTTTTTCCATCTACATTAAAATCTTAGTAAATACCCTCTTTGCCCCACATCACCCTCAATCCTAACCTTAGCCCCATATGCACTAGCAGTAAATGATGGTAGTCTGTCTGGGTTAGGGCCAAACTTGGAAACAATATTAGGAAAAATCTGTGCTATGGATTAATGACCTAAATGTTCTAAAGCAGCTGTCTATTTAACCTTGCTGGAGCCTTCTGGATATGATATTCTTGTTTAAGTGGACAATATAGAGTCTAAAAATGACCTTTACATTCCCTTTCTGGTTGGAAGGTGTATGGTGAAAATGTGACGCCTAGAAGCCAAATCCAGTCCACACATGTATTATTTCCTTTGACTTTCATGGTGTTTGTTTCAAATCAAACCCACATTTAGAAACCAAGATACTTTACTGTAAATATCTAGTTTCCTTTGAGATGCAGATCATTGGCCTTATCTTCCCACATAGCTTTGGTCAGGGGGC